TATAAGAGACAGCCCCACCCCCCTCCCTCCTTCCAGGTCTACTCTGACAGACAGACAGACTGACCGGCCGACCAATCGACCGACTGAGAAACAGGTAAACAAGCACTCAAACCAACAAACAAATGGAGATATGCACACACACACACACACACACACACACACACACACACACACACACACACACACACACACACACACAGAGAGAGAGAGAGTACAGCCTGATCTTTCTCTTTGTCAAGTTTGTCTAGCATTCGGCAGGCATGTGCCCGTTCCCCCTTTTTTTGCCTCTCCGGTGGTCGGGCATTGGTAGCTCATTCGGCAAGGTGCGGAAGAGGCTGCGTTTCCAGCCAGTTGTGGATGAATGTCACTGCAATTGCATCCCAAATTCAGTCGAAGTTGAGCTGCTTGCAGTGTGGGCAGGCATTAACGCAACGAGGCACATATGAAACAGACAATGACACTAAAGAAGATGCAACCATGGAAGCCATTGCACATGAAATAGCTGAAATATTAAATGAAAAAACAAGAGTAGAATATGACGTTCTGAAGTTAGCAAATGTTTTCGTGCCTTTTCTTTTTTTGAAAAATTTGCCCTTTATGTGAAAGAGAAGGAGAAGGTGAGAGGGGAGAGGTAGAAAAGAAATCAAAGAGAAAAGAGAGAGATTTAGGGAAGAAGAGGAACAAGGAAGTGCAAAAAGCAGACTGAGGAGGAAAGAAAAGGAGGACGACGGAGGCATTGCAAGGAGACACACAAAATGAGGAAGGAAAGAGGATCATTGAATGAATTCATCAATTCTTGCGAGACGCAGGGTGTGTGTTGTTTTCCAGTGTTGACATGTCAATGATCTTCTTACATCCCTGAAAGGTGCAAAACGATCGGTTGCTGAAAAAAAAAAAAAAAAAAGAAAAGGAGAAACTTCAAAAAAGGAAAAAAAGGAACGACTGGTTGCTTATCTTGTTTAACATGTTGACGTTCTTGATGATCCGAGAATTGAGGGATGAATTGGTACTCTTTCGGTTGCTTGATCGATGGTGAATCACTCGAATTCAGTGTCCACAACAACTCTCCAATCCTAGCAGATTGTCCGTCCAGATCTTTTGTCCGTCCAAACCTTTGACAAAAATGGCTGTCATAGCCATAAAAGTTACTCTTTTTTTTTTTTGTTTTTTTTTTTGTTTGTTGTTGTTGTTGTTGTTGTTGTGAGTGTGTGTGTGTGTGTGTGTGTGTGTGTGTGTGAGAGAGAGAGAGAGAGAGAGAGTGGCAGGCATGAGGAGAACTTTAAGGAATGGCGGGGGAGGAGGAGTTGGAGATGGG